ATGATGGAGATTTGTCTTTTTGACCAACGGCGAAACTCATCTTTCAATTTAACTGAGGATTGAGAAAAATTGTATAAAGAAAAAAAGGGCTTTATTATTGTTTTGTTATGCAAAAGTGATGTAATTCTAATTTAACGCCATTGAGAATACTATAGTGCCCTATGATTATTAATAAGATAAGCTATCACTTGATACAGTATCATTTATCCGGAACCACAAAGTAGGTGTCGTTGCATGACGCAAAACGATGGCGGTATTATTTCGAGTTTTGTTGGATTATTTACAGAATATAATAACTTTTCAAAATGTTTGAATAAGCACGAATAATTCGTTTATTATAAAATATTTTAAAAATAACGATTTAGCTTTTTTTGACACAAGTTCAATAATAATATTAATCCATGTATTTATTTTTTTTATCAATTAGCCATTAATAAATTTTAATACATAATACATTATATTAAGATTTACACACTGTATATTAAATTGATAATATGTTTATTATATTTGATTTTGTTTTTTTTCAATAAGAATATTATTTAATATTATATACTGTATGCATTAACTATTTATTAAATAAACTGTTTCTTTTGCTTGAATTTTGCCAACTATAATAAAACTTGGATTTCAAATTATGCAATAAAGAAAATAAGTAATACATATTGTTTGTAAATAATAATCAATATCGTAATTGTTGTGGTTATCTAATATTTCAAAATATTAACGAATTGTCAAAATTTTATTTAGTTACAAACTTAATCCTTAATCACGAAGAAAGCTATTTAAGTCGCATAACAATACTTATTTATTTTTACGAATTTGGCATACAGTAAAAAAGAAATTCTGATCATTCATTACACTTGATAACAATTTATTTCAAGAATTTAATTAAAATTATTTCGCTCTACAACTGGACTATAAAATTGTTTAAAATTATTTATCAACCTCCAGATTAAGGAACGTCACTTTTTCCGTGTTCCTGTTCTTCCCAAACCCATTCACATTGTACCCACCCTTTCACCTTATCAATATCTCCTAAGGATTTTGGAAAATTGTTTAAATCAAAATTTTCATTTTTCATTATATCATAAAATGCTTGATATGTGTCTATAATGTGTTTCTGTAAATAATGGAAATGTGACGGTTCAATAGTATTAGAATTTCGAAAGAAACTTTGTTTTTTTATAAATCCACGGCACTTGCCTGTATTGGTTTCAGCAAGATACTCTCGGTTTCACGATCACCAAGATATTCTGACATCTTAGGAACTATATAAAGAAGACGGGCTTTAACGGTTTCTTGGAATGTTTCATAAACTTCAATAACTTTATCTGAAAAATGTATATGAAATCAATAAAATTATATTAGAACTGCAAAATAACACAACATAAGGGTACCTGGTTGTGCAAATTTTTGATTTTTCAACGACGTTTGATGATGAACTTCCCTAAGGTCATTCCTAAGCCTGAAGGCCGATACCTGAAGTATAGAAAAAGTGCAAAAAAGCAATTTACACAAATATCAATATCAGTGCATTTATTATCGCAGAATAAAATTATAATATATAATATACCTTCAACAAGAATGAAGACAAAGGTTCAATTGCTAACTTCGAATTATCTAAAATGAACTCTTCGCACACATGCTTGAGTTCTTTGTCTACTTCCTACACGCAAATTTAGAGAATTAAAAATTAAGCACAACAATCTAATGTTTTTTAGTAAATGGATAAATACCTGCTTTGCATCCACTCGATTCTCGACAACTTTCGGAATACCCTTTGTTGCCAAACCAATTAATTTGGTGGGACTGAAAAGAGTATATTTATTCTGCAACATTTCGCTGATTGCGTCTGTGTACAAATGATTATCGATTCAATAATAAG